GAGACAGCAGGAGAAGGAAGAAGTACCCACCATGGGGAAATGTCATGCCACAATCCTTTCTCCTCTATCCTCGAGATACACTTATCCTTGGGATATTTTTCAGACTACCGGATTTGAAACTTGAACGGTGGGTCAGTCATGTGAGATTCAGTTCTCTTCACCACCAGGCCATAAGCTGGCCCTAAAAACTGTCTAATTAGTCTCTAGGTGATGCTGAATAGGCACTACTCTCAGCACTGGGGGTAGAGTGTTGAGTAAGAAAGAGGAGGGAGGCCAGTAGGAAGTATGGTGGTGAAGGCACTGGATTGGCACATGGGTGATCGTGGTTCACAGTCCCAGACCCAGCAGCTTGACAATCACTCCAGGCACATGTGCGTGCATGCCCCAAATTAATTATTAAAAAAAATAATAAATGGCTAGAAACATAAATGGCTCAGATCCATCAGGCTTTCTGATGGTTGCTTTTTTTCTTTCAATCTTTTTATGCAGTGAAACATACAGAAATCTACTAGCTTAACCATTTTTGAGTGTACAGTTCGGCATTATTAGTTCTATTCATAATGCTGTACAACCATGAGCACTACTATGATGGTTATTTTCATGGGTCAACCTGACTGGGCCACAAGACTCTTGGATAGTTGGTTAAATATCATTTCTGGGTGTGTCTGTGAGGACACTAGCTTTTGAATTGGTAGACTGAGTGAAGCGGATGATCTGCCCCCATGTGGGTAGTCATTGCTTAACTGCCTGAACAGAGTCAAAAGGCCATGGAGGGTTGACTTAACTCTGCCTGACTGTTTTTTTTTTTTTTTGAGAGATTTTCACTGTAGGGCGCGTGTGCTTGCCAGACAGACAGAGAGAGACAGAGAGACAGAAAGCGAGAAATCACCCCCCAGGGGGGATGGTCACGCTGCAATCCCTTCTCCTCCATTCTCCTCTCGGGATCTTGGGCACGCACGCACACGCGCCCGGCGTGAGTTTTAAGCCACCGGGTCCGGGACACGGACCGCGGTCGACTACGTGGGAGTCCAGCGACATAGCCATTAGGCTAACTGCTGGTTTCCCTGCCTGACTGTTTGAACCGGGACTTTAATCTTATTGCCCTTGGTACTCTGTGCTCAGGCCTTCAGACCTGGAGTATATACCCCTAGTTCCCTGATTCTCAGGCCTTCAGTCTCTATACCACCTGGTTTCCCAAATTTCTAGCTTGCATTGCTGTTGTGAACCATTACCTTATAATAAATCCCTTCCTAAATGAATATCCTATTGATTCTGATTCTCTGGAGAACCCTAATAGAGGCCCTTACAGGCCATGATGAGGAAACATGGCTTTATCATGACATCAGTCCTCCTCCCTGCTCCATTTTCCAATCATCTCCTACCAGGGTTCCCTGCTGTGGTCTGGGGCTGCTAAGATCTCTTCAGCACAGTTGCCAGGATGACCTTTCAGAAAAACATGAATCTGATCATGTTACTTCACTACCTAAGACATTTCTAAGGCTCCATACCTTCCGCCTTATGAAGACCCAGCCTCTGGTCTTCAATGACCTAACTCCCATTTTGTTCAGGAACCCAGCACTCCCTGGCCCAGCCAGGCAGACCTCACCCCAGCTCTGGATCTGACTGACCTATAGGGACCCTCACTGCCACAGCAGTAGAGCAGTGAAGGATTGAAAAATGAGGAAATCAGGTGGGGGGAGGATGCTTATAAAAAGTTTCCTGACATTACGAAAAAGACCCACAGCAAATCAGTCTCTCCCCTGCCAAACATGAAGGAGGAAGTGCAGTGAGGCCTGAGCCCTGCACCAGCCAGCTGTGAGAAGAAACAACCCCAGGCTGGTGGCAGGCTGAGGCCAGGGTGGCAAACTCAGCCCTCTCCAACATAACTGAACGCATAACTAACCAACCCTGGAACCTGCCTTACCCCTCAACTTCCTGTTATATGGGGCAATACATCTTGTTTAAGCTGGTTTGAATCTTGATTTTGTTTTTTACACCAAATGGCACTGAAATACCTTTCGCCTGGCAGAGAAAGGCTATCTGGATCTCCCCTGCCTGGTTTCTCAGAAACCACATGGTCCCCTTCTACCTGTCCCCCAACTTCTACCCTGGGCTCTAGTCATGCCCAGCTATGCGAAGCTTCCTTAGCTCTGCTTCAAATACTCCTTCAACCCCTGTCTACCTGTAAAACTCCTACTCATTCCTCAGAACCCAGTAGGAAGGTCACTTGGCCTGTAAAGCTCCTGACAGGCCTTGGTAGTATGAAAAGCTTCTCCTCTAAGCCTCTCTTTAATCCAAAATGCCCTTGGTCTCTAAGTATTCACTGTCCTGGTCCCTGAGAAGATAGGGAATTTTTCAGTCCTTACAAAACATATATACTCTATAGTTGAAGGGAACTTCTCCCAGATAGCTATATTCAATGCAAATTCTAAACAAAAGAACAGACTGCTAACTATAATCCCAAATCTTGCAAAAGAGGTAAGATTTTCTGGGGTAGAAGAAAGTGACACCGTCAAACTACTGGAATCTGACAGTTAGACCCGCTGATGATTGTCACATGTGAAGAAACTGATCTGGCTGATGAAGCCCTCAGACACCACTGTGAGAGTTTCACTTGATTCCCTCCTGTGTATCAGGCAATGTGCCCGTTGCTATGGTTATAACCAAGAATAAGACTTCTTGCCTGTCTTATATTCTTTGAAGATAGGCCGTAAACATGTACAAATAAACTACGTAACGTCATATAGTAATAAATTCTATAAAGAAAAAAACAAAGTAGGATAAAGGTAGTATGACTGTGATTCCAAATCTGGCTATAAAAACGTAATTTTGCAACTGGCCCCAGGTCCTAGTGGGTTTTTAATTTTTATTTAAAAATTTATTTTGCTATAGGGCATGTGCACTTGCTGGAGATCAAGAGAGAGAGAAAGTGAGAACCCCCTGGGGAGGATGGCCCCACTACAATCCCTTCTTCTCCATTTTCCTCGGGATTTTGGGCACACATGCAAACGCACCCAACATATTTCTCAAGTTGCCAGGCCCAGGATTCAAACCATGTACTCAGTCATGTGGGATCTAGCTGTCTTAACCATGACATCACCTGCTAGCCTGTGACCTAGTATTAAGAGAACTCATCTCACCATGAGGTTTGAACCCTAGCCCTGGGAGCTTGAAAAATACACCCGGCACATGTGTGTCCTCCTCCTTCCTCAGAACCCAGTACACAGGTCACTTGGTCTGTAAAGCTCCCTGACACGCCTTAACAGAATGAAAAGGAGGGAGAAATGGAAGAGAAGGGATTGTGGCATGACCACACCCCATTGGGAGGTGCTTTCTTCCTCTACCTTTTTCTGTCTGTCTCTCCCTGGTGAGTGCATGTACCCTCTGGGAAAATAAAATTAAAAAAAAAAAAACCATAATTTTCTGGAAAGGATACTTTCTAAATGACACTAAAAGAGAACGTACTCAAAAGATGGAACTGCTCACTTATGCGAGTGGGTCCTCTGCAGTCATGATTGATTGCATTACATGACTCCACCCCACTGACCACAACTGATTGGACAGCTGACCCCAGCTAAGCCGATCAGAGTCTCGCCTGGGAGTTTGGATGTATAATAGAATACAGGTTACTGAATTTATGGTGTAAGGGAATATAGATGCCTTAGATTAGGGACAGGGCAACTGTCAGCCAAGTGTAGAGATGAAGAGTAAGCCAGTCTGCAGAAAAAAGACAAGAAGAGCAGACACAGTAAGAAACAAATGTTAGAACTGCCCAGAGACTGGACTAGCTGAAGGGCTGGCGAGGGAGACTGTGATGTGATGAGATCTATCATGGGTGCCCCTAACCCTCTCTGGTGTGTGTACACACACGATCTCATGAAAGAAAGAAAATAAATTTAAGCAAATAAAAAGAAGCCAGAATCTGAATCTTCAGTTGGGGCATCCAAAACTAAAGGGAAAATAAAAAAACTGAAACAACATTATTATATGTGTCCCCACTGAAGGACTCAGATGACTGGCCGATAGCTCCTGTTGCCTGGGTTTTGTCTTTTCTAAGACTGGTTCTTTAGATTTTCCATAGATTCCCTAGCTCTCCCAAAGTCTCCTTCAAACTTCTCAAGTTAGGTGCAGTTGGTTTTTACAGAGTTCAACTGAAGAACTTTATGAGGTGTAAGGCTTTCTGAGCAAAGAGTGATGCTTAATACTTGCTTAAACCAAATGCCAAAACCATATGCTGAAGTTGTGGCCCCCAGAACCTCATGATGTGACTGTATTTGGAGACTGGGCGTTTAAAGAGGCGATTATATTCAAATGAAGTAATCCTTTAATCCTCTCTCCCTATTCTTTGGGCAAGGAGAGCATATTAGTTATCTGTTACTGGGTGACAAATTATCCCACACCAAGTGGCTTTAACAATATACATTTACTGTATCACAACCTGTGTGTCTGAAATTCCAATGCAGCTTCCCTGAGTGGTTCTAGCTCAAAGTTTCTCATGGAAGTTGTAGTCTTGATGATGGCTGGAACTTTGGTCATCTAGACACATGACCAGGCTGGGAGATCAACTTCCAGGACAGTGCACTCACATAGATGTGAGAAGGCGGCCTCCATTCCTTGTCACACAGACTCTTCACTGGGCTGCCGGAACATCTTCATGACCTAGAAGCTGGCTTTCCTCACAGTAAGGGACCCAAGGAAACAAGATGGAAGCTGCGATGTATTTTACGATCTCGCTTCAGAAGTCACACTATCATTTCCTTAATAGCCTTCTGGTTACAACAAAGTTATTCCTATTCAGTGTGGGAAAGAACCACACGAGGATGTGAATACCATGACAAAGGGATCACTGGGGCCATCTGAGAGGTGGCTGCCATACAGGGGAAGCCTAGAAGCCTTGTGGGAGTTTTCGTACTCAGCCATTGGCCTCTTTTCACTTGAGCTATTTCTATTCGCCTGTTCACCAAGAACATCTCTTTTCAGAAACCCAGCCAGTGACTTACTAGCAATGGTGGAAGGAAGAGGCAGATATGAAGAAAAAGATGCAAAACAGGCAGGTGAAGTTTTCCAGTCCAAGGACCAAGTCTGGAGAACTGGAAAAGAGGAACAGATGACCATTAGGGAAAGGAGACACAGGCTGCCCCAAGGTTCAAGGACAAAGAGTAGCATAAAACATGAGGGCTTACCCCTGACAGATGAGAAACTCCTCCCGTTACAGCCCCCAAAGAAAGTCGAACGTGCAGTTCTGCGTTGCCGGTGTCAATCATCCTTTATTGCTCTGAAGTCAAATGGGCCTGAGAACTGGGATTCATGAGTCCAGACTGCGGCTGAGCTGAACCGTGTCCCCCGCCAAAACCATATGCTGAAGTCGTGGCCCCCAGAACCTCATGATGTGACTGTATTTGGAGACTGGGCGTTTCAAGAGGCGATTATATTCAAATGAAGCTGCTGAGGTGGGCCTAGTCCAGTCTGACTGGTAGCCTTCTAAGACGAGAAAATCTGGACACAGAGAGGACACCAGGGATGTGTGTGCCCAGAGGAAGGTAAGTGAAGACACAGAGAAGGTGGCCATGTAAAGGTCAAGTAGCAAGGCTCCGGGGGAATAAAAAAACAAACCTGCTGACACCTTAATCTTGGGCTTCTAGTTTCTAGGAAATTTGTTTTTTTTTTTTTTTTAAATGAGAGAGATTTTTGCTATAGGGTATATGTGCCACTGGAGAGACAGAGAGACAGAAAGCAAGAAATCACCCCCCAGGGGAGATGACCGTGCCACAATCCCTTCTCATCCATTCTCCTCTCAGGATTTTGGTGCACGCATGTACATGCACCTGGTGTGAGTTTTAAGCTGCTGGATCTGGGACTCAAGCCATGGTCAACTACATGGGAACCCAGCAATGTAACCATTACACCATCTCCTGGTCCCAGTAAGTTCTTAAGCCACCTAGTTCTGTGGCATTTTTGTTATGGCAGCCCTACAAAACTAATACCCAAGCCCTCTGGACTGTCCCAGAACGTTACTTTGCTGTGAACTAAATCCTGACCTCTACTATATAAGGTGGTATTCAAAACTAGAGATGAAGACTTCTTTTCTTAAGTCAGGAAGGTGAGGAGGGCTGGCTTCCCTGGCCAACCATTGAGGATGGGCTTGCTGTGGAGCCATAATGTACTTGTGTGCAGTTAGAGATTCTGCTTCCGCTCTTCATTCCTCTGCAAGCTTTTCACTGGGCCCAGGCCTCCTCCTGTCCTCTGAAGGCAGTTTCCAAGGGCACAGGTTCCTAGGAAGACCTCCACTGTCCTGCACATCATCTCCTAGCTGGACAGCACCTTCTGGATTCGTTCCCGCACTTCTTTTGGCCCCAGGGACACCATCATCTCAGCTACAGGAGGTCCTTGCTAAGAACAAAAAGAGAAAACACTGCCTCTCACCACCTTAAAGTACCTAAGAAATTTATGTTCAGCCTCAGCTTGTAGACGTTATCCCCAGGCCAGCTCCAACACTGCTGCCTGTGTTCTAAGGACAGACCTTGCATTTTACTGGTTTTTAATTTCTGTGGATGATGATGGGTCCTAGAAGCCTGTCTTTCCTGTATTCAGTAAACTGTGGATATGCCTTGTTATCCACAACAACCTACAAACTACATACAGGTAGAGACCTTCCGTTTGGTTCACTACTGTACCTAGCATACTGCAGGTACTCAAAATTACCTGTCGAATGACAGACTGAGGGGACTGATCATGTTTCATTCTTTTTTGTATCTCTAAAACTGAGCTACCAGTACCTGTCAGTTGAGAGGATAAATGAGGGGCTCCAGGGAACTGCCTAACCCATCTTCCCCGACTCACCGGCTGTCCACTGAGGGCCACACGAAGGAATTTCATCACGTTACTGTGCTTGGTGTCTTCCAGACCTTCTGACAGCTTCTTCAGTTCTCTGTTCAGCACATCCTGAGTTAAACTTGTAGTGGACCTTTCTAAAAGCCTAGAAGAGAGCCAGTCTCTAAGGAGCCCGTATGGGCCAATGGCAAGTGGGTGAGGGAGAACTTCAGAAGATTATCAGTCAGCTACTAAACAGTACAACCAACGGTCAAGCCAACTTTTGAGAAGTGAGGGAGATATCTACCACCTGCTCTCACATCCAAGTAAGAAAAAACCACCAAGGGGCTGTGGACATAGAAAATCCAAGCCAGTGAGCACAGTATAGTGAACCATAATGAGAGGATTTAGTAATTGCTACCTCTGTGTCATGTACAGTAAGCTTTATGCCTCATTTTCTCATCTGTGAAGTGGGGCTAATAATAGTATCTGCCCCACACAGGGCTATGATGGAGTTAAATCTTGTAAAGCACTAAGTACAGTGTCTGAACACATGGAAAACACATAAAAGTACTAGGTTTTAATATCTCAATTTAAAAATTATTTTAAATAACTAATATTTGTTAAATCCCAGAGCTCAGAACGTGCAAGAAGCTCTAAAAGAAAATTTAGGAATGGGTTAGACATAGAATGGATCATTTCTGGGAAATATCTGAAACACAGCTTCAAGATTAGTGGGAGAAGACTTTCTGGGGGATGCACAGAAAAGCGGAGGGAAGAAGTCAGGAGATTGCAGCAACAGAAATGACCCTATCAATTTGCAGCACTTGATCTAAAATCCAGCAGCTTAGCAACCATCCCCCACTTTCCTGGCAAGCCAGCTAAGAGATATCTCTCCCAAGAGATTTTGAATTTCAAAAGAAGTTTCCCTGGAGGCTGGCAGGTGGCATGGTGATTAAAGGTACTGGATTCCCACATGGCCGACTGCAGTTCAAGTCCTGGACCTGGCAGCTTGCTTTCTCACTTTCCCTTTCTCTCTCTGGTCAAATTAAGAAATAATAATAAATGGAATTACATAAATAAATATTTTTTAAAAAGTTCCCCTGTTGAAAATGGACTTTCATGGGACCAGCAGATGGTGGAATGGTTATGTCACTGTACTCCCATGTAGTCGACCATGGTTCGAGTCCCGGGCCAGGTGGCTTAAGCTCATGCCAGGCGCATGTGTGTGTGTGCCCAAGATACCACGTGGAGAATGGAGAAGGGATTGCAGTGTGGCCATCCCCCTTGGGAGGTGATTTCTCACTTTCTGTCTCTCTGTTTCTATCTTTCTAGCGAGTACACGCACCCTATAGCAAAAACCTCTCAAAAAAAAAGAAAAAAAAAAAAGAAAAAGGACTTTCAGATTGCGCAGTGGTTACGTCGCTGGACTCCCATGTAGTCGACTGTAGTTCAAGTCCTGGACCAGGCAGCTTAAAACTCATGCAGTGCATGTGTGCCCAAAATTCCGAGAGAAAAATGGAGAAGGGATTGTAGAGTGGCCATTCCCCCATGGGGAGGTGGGGTGGGGGGTGGGTGTGATTTCTTGCTTTCTCTTGTTCTGTCTCTCGGGCACATAGCAAAAGTCTCTCTTAAAAAAAAAAAAAGAAAAAAAAAAAAAAAGACTTGCAAAAAATTTTCCCCAGCCCCAATTCTGAGTTAAAACAAAAGATCAGAATAAAGAAGTGTTGAGTATATGTCACTGCAACTTCCCAGCTCCCGAGTTTTCACTGGAGAGTCTGCGCTGGAGACACTAAAGAGAAAATGAGGCTAGAGTTCTTCACTGGCACGATGATACATGATGCCAATTTTGATACTGCCTGCTCACAATGGCATCCAGACAACGACATTCCAAAGGTCAGCTCAGGTAATTCACATTCACTGTGTGAATGGCTCAGGGAACAGAGCTCAGAAGTGATTTGAAGAGGGACCAGCAGTTAGCATAATGGTTAAGTCACTGGACTCCCATGTAGTCTAATGTGGTTTGTGTCTTGGACCTGGTGGCTTGAAACTCACGCTGGGCGCGTGTGCGTGTGTGCCCAGAATCCCGAGAGGAGAATGGAGTAGAAGGGGCTATGGTGTGGCCATCGCCCCCTGGGGGGTGATTTCTCGCTTTCTGTCTCTGTCTCTCTCTGTCTGGTGAGCACATGCATCCTGTAGCGAAAACCTCTCCAAAAAAAAAAGTGATTTGAAAAAACAGCCTTTTAAGGCAGGCAGATTTCTTAACTAAATGCCAGAACCTGAACTGAGCTTCATTTTAAAACAAAAGTAACAACTATTGTTATCGCAGTGTTGCTATTGTCTGAATGTTTGTGTTCCTCTCATTAAAATCCCACAAGGTGATGGCAGTAGGTAGTGGGGTAGTGAGTAGGTCAAAAGTGGAGCCCTTGTAAAAGATACTTTCATAGAGCTTCCTCATCCCTTCTGCTATGACAGGACACAGGGAAAAGAAAGACGAGAGAACAGGGCCCTTGCCAGACATCTAATTAACAGGCACCTTGATCTCAGACTTCCAGCCTCCAGAACTGTGAGCAATAAGTATCTGTTGTTTGTACCACCTAGTCTACGGTAATTTTGTTACGGCAGCCCTGTCAGGCTATAATTCTTGTTTAAATTAAGGAGACAAAATACTGAAAATATAAATGCAAAGTGGTCTGTCTAGCTGGTGGCATGTGAGGGTATGCAGCCTGGTAGTATGACAGAGTTATCTGCATGCCTTGTTACTCACTCACTGAAACTGTCTGACATATGCCTTAGGTGCCAGGGGCTCTGCGGTAAATATCTGCGAAGAACGGGAAACATCTTGACTCTGGCTAGGTCATGCCATGTCTGTTTTATATAATGGTTATGGCTTACACATTATCATCTTTGATGGATACACAGCCAGCCTTCCTCAAAGTTGCAGAGGAACAGCATAACTACACTGGCTGACCTGATGCACAACAGGATCACAATGATAGTGAAAAGGTAGAAAAACATATATACTAAAGTCCTTATCTCTAACTGTAGAACTTCAAGCACATCCTTGAAAGCTTGCAAAAGAGTTCACTGTGCCTAGTAAAATGTATAAAGAAGCTCAGCATGACTGAGCAGCACAGCTTGTCTGTGTTCACTTGCATCACTGCTTCTGCATTTTCTTTCTCTTCTTTAACTCTTTCCTTCACAGGACCAAGCCCCAAGGGAGAATGCGGACAGTGGCATGGTGGGTAAGGTAGCTGAATCCACATGGCCAATTGCATGGTTCAAGTCCCAGATCCAGCAATTTGAAAAACACACCAGATACATATGCATGAGTGCCCAAAATCCCAAAAGGAGGGAGAAATGGAGAAAAGGAAATTGTGGCATGACCATTCTCCATGGGGTGGGGAGAGGGTGCATTTTCACTTTTTCTTTCTCAGTTTTTCTTCAGCGAGCACACACACCCTCTGGCAAAATTTTAAAAAATGATTTATTTATTTAACTCCATTTGCTATTATTTTTTAATTTGACCAGAGAGAGACAGAGAGAGAGGAACCAAGAAAGGGAGAGGGAGAAAGCAAGGCACCAAGCCCAGGACTCAAACCACGGTCAGCCATATGGGAATCCAATTTTGCCTCTCTGGCAAAATTTTAAAAGAATGTAAAGTAGGAACAAAGCATGGTCACTTCCAGGAAGCAGGCTGTCATGGAGCTAATGATAGAATGACAGGCTTCAGGAAGTGAGCAATGGCAGCTCAGGCAACATTAGCGCTGGCTGAAGTCTGGCATGACACAAACAGGACTTCTAGTGATCTGGCAGCTCCTGAACATTTGGGTATACGCTTTCCTGACTTGAGCGGAAGTCCTAAAGTGTCTCTGAAATCTGATCCCAAGCCTGGGATAGGGAGTTAAGACATTGAGTCCTGGTGAATTATAACTAATAGCTTCTACTGTGGTAGGTCCTAAATTAAGAGAGCATTAACAACAGCAGCTTTTGGGAATTTATTCTGGAGATATAATAGTAAAATGCTCAATGATCTCTATTCAATACTATTCACTACAGCATTGTTTGTAACAGCAAAATTTGGAAGCAACCCAAATGTCTATCAGTAGAAAAGGAGTTAAATGAATTGTGGTAAAGATAATGGAATAAGGATGCTCTCCAAACTCTGCACAAATCTAAAGATAAGCTGTTCAGTGTGTGTGTGGGGGCGGGGATACCCAAAAGAGAACAGGTATTATAGTGTACCTTTGGGTACAAAGGAGGAAATTTAGATATAATTAAGATGGGCCAGCAAGTGGCGTGGTAGTTAAACATTGGACTCCCATGTGGTCAACCATGGTTTGAATCTTGGACTTGGTGGCTTGCTTTCTCATTTTCTCTTTCTATTTCTCTCTGGTCAAATTTAAAAATAAAATAATAATAACAAATAAAATTTATTAAATAAATCTTTAAAATAAATAAATTAAAAAGAAAATATACAATTAAGGGTAGTGGGGGACCACGTGTTGGTGTAAGGGCTATGATGCTGGACTCCCATATAGTCGACCACAGTTCGAGTCCCAGAACTTAAACTCCAAGCCGGGTGCATGTACATGCATGCCCAAGATCCCAAAAGGAGAATAGAGGAGAAGGAATTGCAGCATAGCCATCACTCCTGGGAGGTGATTTCTCACTTTCTCTCTCTCTGTCTCTGTCTTTCTAGTGTGCTCACGTGCCCTATAGCAAAAACCTCTGAAAAAACAAACAAACAAACAAAAAAAAACAATGTACTGAGACCAGCAGATGGCATAATGGTTACATCCCTGGACTCTCACGTAGTAAACTGTGGTTCAAGTCCCAGACCTGGTGGCTTGAAACTCACAACAGGCTTTTGTGTGTGTGTGTGTGTGTGTGTGTGTCTGTCTGTCTGTGTGTGTGCCCAAAATCCCAAGAGGAAAATAGAGGAAGAGGGATTGCAGTGAAGCCATTCCCCAGGGGAGTTATTTCTTACTTTCTGTATCTCTGTCTCTTTGGAGAGCACACATGCCCTATTGTAAAAATCTTTTGGAAAAGAAAAAAAAAAGAATAGTAGGAACCTACTGAGAAATTGAAACTGGGCAGATGGGAAACAAGAATTAAAAGTAGGCCAGCTGGTGGGACCAGCAGTTAGCGTAATGGCTATGTCGCTGGACTCCCATGTAGTTGACTGCGGTTCGCGTCCCAGACCTGGTGGATTAAAACTCACGCCGGGAGCGTGTGCGTGCGTGCCCAAGATCCTGAGAGGAGAATGGAGGAGAAGGGATTGTGGTGTGGCCATCCCCCCCGGGGGGTGATTTCTTGCTTTCTGTCTCTATGTCTCTCTGTCTTTCTGGCAAGCGCATGAGCCCTATAGCAAAAACCTCTCAAAAAAAAAAAAAAAAATAGGCCAGCCAGTGACATGGTGGTTGGGGTGGGATCCCAGACCTGGCAGCTTAAGAAACATGCCAAGCACATGTCATGCATCTTCCATATCCTGAGAGGATAATGGAGGGAAAGCGACCAGTGTGACTATCACCCAGAGGGGTACTTCCCCCGCCTCCCCACCTCTTTGGAGTGTGTATGCTCTCCATGGCAAATTTAAAAAAAAAAAAAAAAAAAAAAAAGGATTTCCAGTGCATACCTTTTCAGAAAACAATTTCTAGGGACTAGATGATGATGGTACAGCAGTAAAACATGAAACTCTGTGAGGCTGACCAATGCGGAAAGGTTCCAGATGTGTGGCTGACCCACACTGGAAAGTTCCAGATCTGTGTCTGGAAATCTACTTAAGTATGACTATTTAAAAATACTATTTAAAAATTTAAAAATTGTAAGTTTTAAACCAAAGTTTAAAAGGTTTAAATGTATGAATAATCAAAATATTAGATTTTTAAAGGTATTTTTAAGGTTTTTGCCATAGGGCACATACACTCACCAGAGACAGAGAGACAGTGACAGGGAAAGTGAGAAATCACCTTGCAGGGGGATGGTCGCACCAGAATCTCTTTTCCTCCATTTCTTCATCCAGTTAGGATTCTGGGCGCACACACACATGGTTTCATGTCACCGGGGCTGGGACTCAAACCATAGTTGGTCATGTAGGATCTGGTTTCCCTTAGCCATAGGCTGTGGGACCACCTCCCATATAAATAAAGTTAGGTTCGCATATCCTTGAACATATTTCACAATAGAAACTATTCATTCTGGCCACCTTTCTGTTGGGGCTTTTCACAATAAATCCTTCTTATACCATGTAGACTTTCTGACACGTGTACATACTCTTTTCAAAAATACGTATAGAAAATTTCCAGGTTTTCAGGCACTGTCCTAGCACTTCATACATAAGAAAAGAGAGAATACAGTTAGATGTAAGGTCTCTAGACCCAGCCTTCCTGGGTTTGACTCCTCTGGCTTAGGGGCTATATTATCTTAGACAAGGCACTGTGCCGTGATTTCCTCATTTGTAAAATGGAGAGAACTACTGTATTTATTTTGTTAAAGGATGATTTAATTTTATGTATTATTATTATTCAAAATTTGATCAGAGAGAGAGGGAAAGTGAGAAAGCAAGCTGCCAGGTAAGCCATGGTCAGCCATATGGGAATCACCTTCACCACCATGCCACCTCCAGTCCCTACTGATTTCACTAGGTCGTTGTGAATTTAAGTACGTATTCACACACACACTCACATGTATGCGTAGGTATCTGTGTGTATTTATAGAAAATGTATACCATATATAAAGTAGCACATTGGTTTTTATTTTTAAGCAAACGCACATAATGTACTTGCTATTTTATACCAATTTAATCTCCACAGCTAAGCTGGGACGTATGTAAAGTATCTGTGGTTTTTGCTGCCCAGCATCTACCAATGCCTTTCTCCTAATACCAGTGCCCAAATCTCCCTGGGGAAATACTCACCTCCCATGCTCAGCCCATGTGCTTTGGCTGGGGGTTCACTCAGGTCTAGAACTTGACGTAGGCCTAAGCTTACCAGCACATTTCCCAGGTCTTGCTGAATGGCTCAAGGAGAGGGAAGCCAGGCCAATCACAGCTAACCTCAAACCACCAGGGATGAGGTAATCCCAAACACTGCCAGATTCTGAAGCACAGGCTTTCAAGTATGGAGTGGCCAAAACTGCCTTAGACTGCAGTTGGAGACTGTAAGAAAGGCAGTGGGGCCAGCAGGTAGTGTGGTGGTGAAGGCGCTGGACTCCCACATAGCCAATCATGGTATGAGCCCTAGGCCCACCAGCTTGAAAATTATGCAGGACACATGTGCATGCAAGCCCAAAGTCCCAGGAGGAAAATGGAGGAGAAAGGGTTGCAATGTGGCCATCCCCTTTTCACTTTCCCTCTCAGTCTCTCTGGTGAGCGTACACGCCCTGTGAGAAAAACCTAAAAAAAAAATAGTTATTAATGATCCCCCACTATCCTTCCTTTCTCATGAGTCATGATATATTTACCTGGGTATAAGTTACAAACCAGTTTGCAGATTCGCTCGCAGCTTGGTATGTCCACAAGACATACTTCTAGCCAGCAGGACATGGGCAGAAATGATATGTGCAGGCCATGCTACAGGGGCCCGGGCAGGAGGGACACTGCTGCTCCATGCCGGGGACTGGGGGAAGGCCCAGGTTTATGTTCCATGTCTGCCTCATCATGTCAGGTGTGCCTGCAATCCTGGCTGGTTTCAGGGCTCAGGGGAGGATTACGGTGTGAAAACCTTGTTGAGAGTGCCCATGTGGGAGTTAGTGTTGTGTGTACGTGTCTCTTGTGAAGAAAATAATAAATCTGAATAATAAGGCTGAATTGTGGACAGTCCATGAAGCTACCACGGACCACAAAGACCAGAATAAAACCTAAGGATGTGGGACCCTTGAAACACGGAGAAAGCTAGTCAACCCTGGACTGCCTGTTGCAGAAAGTGATGTAAGGGAAAAATGCCCTTCCATATTGGCCAGACTGCCATTCCTTCTGTCCAATAGAGACCCTGCCTCTACCTACCTTACACAAGCCTATGCACAAAGGGTGGCCAGAGTGGAGCAGGGGGCACCACAAGTCAAAGACAAAGACAGAAAGTAGGTCTTGGGGACATAATGCAGGCCCTTCTTTTAGTCTTTTCAATTACACACAATCATTCCCCCAGCTTACAGCAGTATCCATTGTGTTTTCTGCCCTGTTCTATTACTGTTTTAGAAAGAACTTTCTCTCTCTCTTATACAGGAGGCAATGGTAGCTCAAGGTGGTGCAGTTACTTGGCCAAAACTAAAGCTGCTTGGGCAATGTGAAAGAATTCAGTGAATCAGTGGCAGAGCTAGGGTGCAACCCAGGTTGAGTACCAGCCACGGGACACCCTGCCTGTGCTCAGCGAGAGCCTGGAGCTTTTGCGGAATCCCTTTTTCATCACAGAAAATCAGTGAGTAACCATTTCTTCACTGGCCATGGGGCTGTGCCTGCAGCCATCTCAGCCCTGGAGGAAGAGAGGCTGTGGGAGGGTGCAGAAGCGCAAGCTCAGCTGAACAACACTCACCCCAGCACACGCTTGGCAATCACATCCATCTTCTCCGAGAAGGCGCCCAGCTGCATCCGACCCACAGCAGGACGAGTCCATAAGTATGAGTATGTGGGTGAGACCAAATCCTGCAGGCGGCAAATGTGACCCTGGGGGAAGAAGCAGCCACTGAATGCATGGGGGACAGCGCTCTGAACACACTGGAGTGGAAGGGAGGAAGCGGAGGGTCTCCCAGAAATCCCCTGCCCCACACCTGTCTCAGCAGGATGATCCTCTCCACATACGCTGGGTCAAGGACACCTCTGTCTTGCAGCTGGCTCCCAAACGCCTCCTCAACCAGGGCCTGCAGCTTCTCCACCAGCTGGTGCCTCTGGGTCTCACTGCTCACCAGCCGTCCCAGGTGCACCCTGTGGGAGAAACCACGGAGGCCCCCTGCCACTTGTACCTCCAGCCCACCCAAGCCCACTCTCCCCAGGAGTAGCTTGAGCTTGAAGAATGACACAAGAACCCTCCTTTTCAAGAGCTAGAAGCAGTATTCTTTTTACATTTATAAAAGGAGAAGGATCTGGCTAAGGCTGCAAACACAGTGCCTGAGAGTACCAAGCAGCCTGTAGATGTGCTTTGTTTTCAGTGTTTTTAAAATAGACACCAACATTTTAAACTAGGAAGCCAAAAATAGTTTTCTGGCTTTTCTTGGGAAATCAGAAGATTTGGCTGCAAAGGACTCTCATTCCCCATGGCTTCAACTGAGCAGAGCAGAGCAGAGCAGAGCAGAGGCTACACAGTGAGAATGGCCCAGTCTCTCTGCTCCTGATGTTGCAGCAGATCTGCTGTGTCCCCTGTTACCTGCCTGGCCTCCACAGGCACATGAGTTTACAAAGCAGAATCCAGGAGTGTCTGCCTCCTAACCTGCTTGAACTGTGAGATTTGGGCACGAAAGGAGAGGTCAAGAATGTGTATCTCTGAGATGCAGAACAGAGGGCAGAAGTGTTTGAACCATGTACTTGCAGGTTAAAAATCTGGGTTTCCACTTGTCAGTTTACATTTTCCCCTTTCCAGAATTATTCCAACTGTCTGATTATCTCTTTAGAAGCAGTAAAGCCTCTAAGACTCCAACCCTCAAACCAGGCTCTGACATCCTCAATGCCTAGGCCTAGGCTGCCCTCCCCTCACCCTGGCAAGATCAGAGGGACCAGAGAAGTGCAGGGCTGAGGTCCATTCTGAAATGTGTGGTGCCTTGTCTCTGGCATGGAAGAAAGGTGGGCAGCAAGGTGTGGGCAACCACTTCATGGGCTTTGGAATCGGAATCGGACAGGCCTGAGTATGATTCCGGACCTGCTTGGTGTTTTCAGCAAGTTGCATGACCACGGAGGGGCTCAAGATGGTTTCTATAAAGTGGGAATGACAAGAGGGATTCCCGCACAGGGTGGCTGTGAAGATTAAACGAAGAAAGCACTGATAGCAAGGCCTGTATTACCACCACATCTGGGACCTGCAGAGAGGCAATGGGCCTAAAAAGAGGCTTCAGCATGTTAGGGGATAAAAGGATAAGACCCATTGGGAAGCTACCTGGAAAGCAAATTGGCAAAAAAAATAAATAAATAAAATAACATAATTTTTAAGGGTATCGGGGAAAAAGAAAACATGAAAGCGGTATTGAAATAATTTCTGAAACCTCCTTACTAGCTAGATAAAAATAGCAGAAAAACAAACAAAAATACCAAGACACCCTTATGGACATCCTTATAGCTTGTAAAGTACAGGGACATAGTAAGTGCTAAAAAAATGCAACTACTCCTACTACTAAAATTATCGCAGCAGTGGCATAACTAGCCTAAAGTTAACTGAAGTAACAACACCAAAACACCGGCAGCTGATGTGAATTCTCCAGGCTCTTGCAAGTAAAAGCAGTGAGGAGAGCCTGCCTCTAAACCCGTACAAGCCTGGCTGCTGGTTTTACAACTAACACCCTTTGACCGAGACATGTCAACGAATGATCTAAACTGTAACTACATTGGGAGGTTTCAAAGCGAAGAGCTACCTGAAGAATCTACTACATGGAATACAGACCAGATGCCATAAGGCAGCGTTCATTCACTGTGTTGGCTGGGCAGGGGGTGATTCTAAAATAAAGATGGGGCAGGCTGGTGGTATGCTGGTTAGGGCAGCTGAATCCCACATGATGTCCCAGACCCAAAAGATTAAAAAACATGCTGGACACTTAAGTGTGGATGCCCAAAACCCTGAGAGGAGAATGAAGGAGAAGGGACTGTGACATGGCCATGCTCCCTGGGAGGTGCTGTCTCACTTTTTCTCTCTCTTCAACAAGTGCACGTGCCCTATAGCAAACTTTTAGAAATTAGGAAAAAAAATCATAACATGAAGATGCCTCTTGCCAGGCTGTGGTATTAACAAAATCCATGCAAAGGGCGGCCAGGAACATAATGCTAATGATAAAAGCAGTACCTTCCATTTACTGAGTGAGTTCTATTTGCCAGGGCTATGTCAAATGCTTTCACACATTTCATTTGTATAACAATAGTACAATATACTATCATTAATTCCATTAATCCCATTTTAGAGAAGAGAAAACAGAGGCTAGAAGAGGTTAGATGACCTACTCATGTTCACACAGCATAAGCTCCAAAGCCCAAAGTCAGGAGTGTGACTCCAGAGCCCCCTAAACCCTCTGCCATGGGGATCCATTATAAACAAGAAATCTCTTTTCTACCAGGGATCTCTATGTTCCACACTCACCTGTTGAATTCTGGAAGCTTCTCCAGATCCAGGAGGGCCGAGTGGCAGGTCACCCGAGTCAGGTCGAACTGTGTTATCAGCTCTGGCAAGGTCCTGCCCATCTGGTTCTCTGCAAGTGAGGCAGGCCTGGCTCTCAGCTTCCTCCCTGTCCTCCTCCCTCCTTCCACTTTCAAATAACAGGGAAGCTCAGTGAACATGCTCTGCACTCCCCACTGCACTCTGACCAGAGGGATTTGACTCTAGTTGTTTCATACACCAAAGGCCTGAATGAACTTTCATTTTCAAAAACAGTTCTATCACTACAGAAAAAGAAATCTGAAACCAGCCGGACTAAACCGATCCTCAATACTCTTGAAGACGTGGTCTGAAAGAAGAGCACATCGATCGCCTGCACCCCAGATTCTGATTTGACTAGTTTGGGGGTGGAGTCTCAACATCAATAAATTTTACAAGCTTCTTAATACATTGCACGGCCAGAACTGAGAACCGCAGGGCTGGGAGCTGTTCCTTGTGAGCAGCAGCCCTGCCCAATCGGTCTACTGGCATTGAGGTCCAGCCCGGGCCTTGGGTGAAATATCCCTCACTAGCTGTGTGATGTTGGCAAGTTACTCATCCTCTTTGAGCCTCACACTGCTCTCACAAATAGTGGGAATACAGATATCTATTGCTCGAGGATACTTTACAGGTTAAATGAAATGAGGGCAGATTATTATTGCTACATTTTTCAGAAACTCCGGCCACAAAAAGGTCGTTTTACTAGCTGCATGCTTCTTCAAGCTGTGGGCTCTAAGTCTTGGACCAAGGTTAAGGGCTCAGCTTGGAATAAAGTAAATTATTACTATAAAGTAAATTTATAGTAATGCTACTAACACTGGTAGCGTCCACATTTGTAACAGCAGCCATAACAACACGGTAGTAATCACAAGATCTGTGAAATTTTGAGCCTATTGTGTGGCCGGCACTGTGCGGGATACATTCATGAGCTCAGTGAATCCTAACTTCACCTGAGGAGATGGACACTTATCTCCACTGTACAGGTGAAGCATTGTACAGAGACCACATGCTCCTTGAGGGCAGATGACGTCTGTCTTCACTGCTGAAGCCCCAGTGCTGAACTTGGAGTCTGGCTTAATAAACATTTGCAGAATAAAAGAATGAACTTGCCCAAGGCCCTGTCACTGGCAGGTGGCAAAGCTGGGACTGAAGACCAGGCCTGCCTGAACCACAGCCCCTGATCCTTACTGCTGTGTGCTCTGCTACCGTGACTGCTTAACGAGCAGGTACCTGCAAACCCCGAGCCACAGTTAGTGATGATGTCAAGCAAGGCATCAGGCAGGAAGCCGACAGCAGCAAAGTGCTCCAGGAAGATGTCCCCTTGCCTCTTGGACAGCTTGCTGCCATCCCTGTTGAGCAGCAGGGGCAGGTGGGCAAAGCGAGGTGGCTGCCAGCCCAGGGCCCGGTAGAGGAGCAGGTGCTTGGCAGTGGACACGAGCCACTCGGAGCCCCGCAGCACGTGGCTGATGCCCATGTGGTGGTCGTCCACCACACAGGCCAGGTGGTACGTGGGGAAGCCGTCGCTCTTCAGGATGACCGGGTCTCCCTCCACGCTGGCCACCTCATGCCGATTCCAACCGTACACCAGGTCCTGGAAGGCTGGTGCCTCCTCCTCCAGGCGGAAGCGGATAGCAGGCTTGGGGTCCTTGGCCAGCCTCTGGGCCACCTGCCCCTGGCTCAGGTTCCGGCATCGATTGTCATACCTGTGGGGACCAGAGCAGCCAAGGAAGTAAGAGCACCATTTACTGACAGGAGTCCTGCCTCTGTCTCTGATCACTGTATGACCTTGGCTAAGTCTTGTGACTCCTCAGTCTGGAATGGGGATAATAAAATGGATGATGTATGAGAAAGCTGAGATAAGCCTAACTGCCATTCTTTCCTTTTCCTTGTGTACGAGAAAATGATAAAATGTTTAGTCCAAGGGCTTAAATCATTATTGGCATAGATGGTCTTGTAAACTCACTGCCCTATCCTCGTGACCAATCCAGGTAGGACTATAACCCCATCCTAGTCACTGAGACATAAAGCGCCCTTGGGAATGAGGAGAGATTAAGGTGCTGGAAAAGAAAGAATCACAAGAGGAAATTCTAGATTTTTAAACTTCCCACATCCTCCTTCCTGTGCTCTTTGGATGTTGTCCTATGAAGTATGGATCCCTGAGATGGAAAACTGGGAATGTGAGCCAGTCGGTAGCATGGTGGTTAAGGTGGCTGGGTCCTACATGGACAGTTGTATGGTTTGAGTCCTGAACTTGGCAACCTGAAAAACACGGCAGGCACATGTGCATGTGTGCCCAAAATCCCAAAAGGAAGACGAGAGAGAAGGGACTGTCATGTGACCATCTCCCATGAAGGGTTTACTCTCTCTCTCTCTTTACATGCGTGCCTTTTGGCAAAAGAATTTTTTTAAAAAATTTAAAAAAAAAATGGAAACGGCAAGTTGCACAATATACTATGGGCACAGTATGTCATTGTGCTCCCATTGGAATGACATAAAAAGGGAACTACTATGCACTTATGACAAATGTTCCGGATGTCTCCAGGGGAGGCATAGAAAATCTCAACACTAGCTGTCCCTGGATATGAAACTGAGTGGCCAAAATCATGGTTGGGAGAGAGATGTCTCGATGTGTATCTTTTTGGACCTTTTAAATACGGGACGATTTTTTTTTAAAAAGAATTATTTAATTGTATTTATTCATTGATTTTATTTTAATTTGACAAGAGAGAAAAATACACATAGAGAGAGAGAGAATTGGAAAGTGAGAAAGCAAGCCACCAGTTCCAGGATCCGAATCATGGTTGACCATGTGGGAGTATCCAGCGCCTTAACCACCACACCACCCGCTAGTCCATAAACAAGAAATAACCTAATTTATTTGAAATAATAAATAATTAATATTACTTTAAATGTAAGTGCCCCAGACACCACTTGGCAGGCAGCTTCTGATGTGGCCCCTGATAATCCCTGCCTCCTGGCTTTCACACCTCATGCAATTCTGTCCCCTTGAGTGTGGGCTGGGCCCAGTGACTTCCTTCTACTGAACAGAACAGAACAAACAGAATGAATGAGTGATGAGATGTCTCCTCTGTGAGGTAGTCTCCAGATTCGCCTTCCTCATCCTCTCACACCCTCCCTGGCTCACTCCGAAGAAAGAACGCTGCTGCAAGATGCCCTACAGAGAGGGCCCACATAGCAAGGAGCTGATGTCCCCAGGCAATAGCTAGCAAAGGCCTGAGAACTGTGCACGGCCTCAGGAGAGGACAAGCAGATTCTCCCTGAGTTGTGATGAAGTGGGGCTCATACCGGGGTGTCTGGCGGTTCCTCAGGGCCTCCTTCTTCAGGAGCTCCAGCCGCTGCGGTGAACAGAAACAGGGGTAAGCAGCTCCAGTTTTCAGCAGAGCTTCTGCAGCCTGAGTGTACAGCTCCAGGCGCTGAGACTGCTGGTAGGGCCCGGCAGGACCTCCCCGACGAGGGCTTTCATCAGGAGGGATGCCTAGAACACAGGCAGAGACTTGTTATCAAGGAACAACTGAAATGTGCATGGCTTTCATCTCCAAGCGAGCTATGAGCACTCTACACATGTATCAACGCTTTTCATCCTCATGATAATCATGGTCAGTGCTATTACAACTTCCTTCTTAGAGATGCAAAGTTAAAGCTCAGGGAGGCTAAGTGCTCAAGTTCACGCAGCCTGTTGGAGTGAGAAGTCAGAGAGGTGTGGGCTCCACAGGTCACACTCTGGCTGTATATTCTCTCAGTCATCCTTTCCCTGTTAAGGGAGAAACCACCCAGGCCTGGAACAGCTAATGAGAACGAGGCCTTGCAAGCTGTTGTGGTGTTGTGTGACCTCCCTTAAGCCTCAAGACTACCCCACCAGGTAGGTGCTGATACTACTCACATTCTGTAGGAGGAAACAGGGCTTTGCTGTCACCTGGCAAGGCTAAGGAAAACAATGAGATTCAAACCCAAGTTAGTGGGTCCAAGTCCACATTGTACAGCCGGCCTCTGATTTAGCCTTTCTAAGCCAGTGTGCTCCTCTGAAAAGTGATGCTAACAGCCTCCTGTGTAGAGATTGAGAGAATGCATGCATCTCCCCACAAAGCGCTCAGCACAATGACTGACATGAAGGACAGTTGCAACGTGTGACATAGGTTAAATGTAACATTTCTTAACATTTTTCCCCAAACAGCATGTATACTTTGGAGCAAGACAGAGATAAAGTACCCCTCCCCCATGGGGCACACTTACACAATCTTTTTTCCTCCATTACTTCATCCCACTAGGATTTGAAGTATGCACACATGCCCAGTGTGGGATTTTTTTTTTTTTTTTTTTTTTTTAAAGTCACTGGGGCTGGGATTTGACCCACAGTCAGCCACATGGGATCTGGTTCCCTATGCTCAGTCACTGCACCATGGAGCCAGCTCAGATGGGATCTATTTTAAGCCAAATTCCTAACCTAACCCCTAGTTTCATCAGGTGATGCAGGAGATTTAATATAAACACATCCAGGAAAGGGCAGAGGGGACACAAGAACTAAAGGAGGGCATTTCTAACCTTAAAAACCTCTCAAGTAGACTAGGAACATAAAGAACATGGTTCACTGTGACACCCAGTGCCAAAACAAAGTCTAGAGGCAGATGGCCTGGGTTTGAACATACTGGCCAGCTCTGAAACCTCGGGCAAGGCACCTTGCAGGGTCTCTGCTTCCTTGTTTACAACAGAAAGGTACGAATACTGGAACTTTCTTACAAGGGTCATCACACTGCCTGGCACATGCTAAGCACTCAGTTCACTTGGCCATGATTATTATTTGGATTATTTAGCTCCCTCTCTCCCAGAGCCTTCATTTCTTCACTTGTCAGAAAGGAGGGTTGGAACAGGTAAATTTGGGAGCCCCTTCCTAATCTTACCTTAACCAAGTCTCTTGAATGTGATCAGTATCATAGTATACTATCATAGTAAGAGTGATTCCTAAGAGGATTGAAAACATATGTTCAAGGGACCGGCATATGGCATAGCGGTTACATTGCTAGACTCCCACACAGTTGACCTGGTTCAAGTCTTATACCTGGCGGCTTAAAATCTCACGCTGGGCATGTGTGCATGCATGACCAAAATCCCTAGAGGAGAATGGAAAAGAAGGGACTGTGGTGTGGCCATCCCCCATGGGGGGGGTGATTCCTTGCTTTCTCTCTGTCTGTCTGTCTAGTGAGTGCATGTGCTCTATAGCAAAATTCTCTCTTGAAAAAAAAAATTCACATAAAGACTAGTATTCAAATGTTCATAGCAATTTTATTCACAGCCAAAAATGGAGATAAGCCTCATGGCCATCCATTGGCGGAGGGATAAATAAAATGTGGTATTTGCATACAATGACTGCTGTTTGGTCATAAGAGGAAATAAAGTATTGATACGAGCTACAGATGAACCTTATGCTAAATAAAAGTCATGAAAAGTCATTCTTTTTTTTTAAAAAATAATTATTTCTTTAATTTTATTTGTTATCATCTTTTTTCAATTTGACCAGACAGAGAGAGAGAGAGAAAGTGAGAAAGCAAGTCACTAGGTCCAGGACTTGAACCATGATTGTCATATGGGAGTCTAGTGCCTTAACCTCCACGCTACTTGTCGACCCCGAAAAGTCACATTTTTTATTATCTCATTTGTATGAAATGTCCAGATGAGGCCAATCCATAGACAGAAAGCCGATTACTAGTTTCCGGGGGATGCGGACAATGGAAAGTGACTGCTAACCCATATGGGGCTTCTTTTGGGGGTGACAGAAATGTTCTGGAATTATCACTGATGGTTGCACAACATAATACACTAAAATCCACTAAATTATATACTTTGAAACTATGCATTTCATCTCATGTGGCTATATGTCCATGAAAAAAAGTGAGTCTCAGAGCATGGAGCTCCAGAAGCCAGCACCCTGGACTACCTGGATACCTGGCCTCTGCCTCACCAAAATGCTAGTTAAGGGCGGGAGGGGTAGGAGAGAGGGGTTTCACGGAGGGGTGGCAGCCTCCCTCACCCGATCACACTGCACAGGGAGCTCTATAGGCAGGTGCCCATCAGCCTTGTTTGTCAGTGTCTCCCTTGGGACTAGTGCAGTACCTGACACACACCAGATGCTCCATGAAATCAAAGGTCTCACCTTGGCCTGCATGACGCTACATGATTTGGATCCCAGCAAGTCCTCTGTCCTCATGTCTCCAGTCACTCTGTTTTCCTCACTCTGCTTGGCCACAACGGCCTCCTCACTGCTTCTGAAATATGCCCAGCAAGTTCCTTTTGCTATTGCCTCTGCTTTGAACATTCTTCCCTGAGTAAGCACTGGTGTGGCTCCTCACTTCATTCGAGTTTCTACTCCAGTGCCACCTCCTCAGAGAAGCCTATACCTAAAAAAGCAGTCCCTTTCCTAGTTCCCTACTGCTACCTTTTCTGCACAGGGCTCATCACTACTTAATAGCATAGCAAGAATGAATTAGTCTATCCATCTGTCTTCCCCTTCCCACTGGGCAAAGGGTCTTTACTCAACATCCTGAGCACCTGGACAAGTAACTGGATCTCAGTAAGCAATCTTGTTGAATAAATTCCTTCGTCAACTTTGGCTGAGTATCTAAAATTTTCTATCATAGAAAACAGAAATGAAATGGGTGTTTACACTTTAGGCACTTAGAGTCTAGTGAATAATTCACCCGAGTTTAGAATACAGATCTCAGAATAGTCTGCTATTTGCCCTGGGAATCTGAATCTCATCAGTCCCACCTGTCCCTGCAGGTGGGCAACTGCTGACTCAGGAAATGCAAATACAATCCTCCTCCCTCCTCCTGACTGTGGCTGTTTTCAGAATTAAATGTCCACACGGAAGATCAATTTCAGAGACTACACATATTTTGTCTGGCTCACCAATGTTATTTTAAAAAGGGCAGGGACAGCAGGTAGCATAGTGGTTAAGGCGCTGGACTCCCACAGCAGTTCAAGTCCTGGACCCAGTGGCTTGAAAATCATGCCAGGAGCATGTGCGTGTGTGCCCAAAATCCCACAAGGAGAATGGAGGCCATGGGATTATGGTGTGGCCATCCCCCTGGGGGATGAATTCTCACTTTCCCTCTCACTGTCCCTCTCTTTCCAGTGAGTACACATACCTTATGGCAAAAACTTGAAAGAAAAGAAAAAAAAAAAAGAAAAAAAGGCCCAGATTTAACAATGGGATATATTAATTCAAAATAATAATAAATCTGTTCTGGGTCCTCTTGGAACTCAAAAGCTTAGACAATCTGGTCCAGCAATGGCTCTGAGCTGGTGCACCAGCTCCTCTGAATAAGACAGGTTTCCTCCTCCAGTTCTTAGTTGACCTGTGCTTCTTGCTTGGCCATTGTAGTGACTGGACTTGAAACTCTGGGATAACAAGAATATCAAGCTAGCCTCATGGTTTTTCTTCAGAAAGTCTCAGCATCTTTTGGGTGGTACTTGCCACCCCAACTGCATGAATGTACCCACTATTCCAGGAACACCTCATTCTCTACTCTGGGTCTCATGAGAACCCAATAGGCTCCTTTCCCTGACAGTCTCACCTGCCCACTCCAACATGTCCTCAATATTCTCCGCTGCCCCAGGCACAAGACGGGTCTGATCTGTGTCCTCCAGTCTTAGGATGAAGCTCCCCTGGTGCTTTTTGGCAAAGATGTAGTTGTAGAGGGCAGTGCGGAGGCCACCGAGGTGCAAGAACCCTGGTAGAAGTAAAAACATGTTAGATGAGACAAATCAGAAGAACTCACAGGTCTCGGCTCAGGGGCCAGTAAGCTCTGCTTGTGGCAGAATGTCCCCACAACTGCAAAGACCAAGAAATGTCTACCACTGTCCCATCTCTCCAAACAGCATCCAGACTGCCAGACTGCCAGAGAAAAGGAATGGCTGCTCAACTCGTTTAGTCCCTCATCTTGCAAGTGTAAATCTACCCGGACATCAGGGCACACTGCTTTGAAAAAGGCTCTAACTTTCTCCAACTGGACTCTACTTTTTTTTAAGAGAGATTTTTGCTATAGGGTATGTAGGCTTGTCAGAGAGACAGACAGAAAGCAAGAAATCACTCCCCCACCCCAGTAGGGATGGCCATACTGCAATCCCTTCTCGTTTCAGGATCTTGGCATGAAGGCACATGCGCCCGATATGAGTTTTAAAGTTGCCAGGTCCAGGACTTGAACTATGGCCAACTATGTGGGAGTCCAGTGACGTACTCATTATGCCGTCTGCTGGTCCCTGTACTCTACTTTGATATTTGCCTCATGGCAAAGTTTCACCTGAAGCAGTGGATTACTAACTGAATCCCTATCACACAACCTTCCTGCATTCAATGATGTGCTCCAGGCAGAAAACCCCAATTAATTACAAATGAGTTATGAATTTAAAGTAAAATCACATTTTGTATAAGTGCTTGGCAGTATACTGACAATCCACATCACTCATTTTGAATTTTGCCTCCTTGAGATTTTTGTCCTAACTGCTAGCTTTAAACACCAACCAAAAGTAATACTTAATTCCATTATATTGGGTCCTCAGAAAAATCTTGATGCATTTTTGCATAGAAAAATATATCATGGAGCCAGCAGTTGGCGTAATCACTCTGGACTCCCATGTAGTCTACCATAGATTGAGTTCTGGATCCAGTGGCTTAAACTCACACCAGGTGTGTGTGCGTGCATGCCCAAGATCCCGAGAGGAGAATGGAGGAAAAGGGACTGCAGCGTGGCCATCCCCCCTTGAGGGGGATTTCCTCCTTTCTGTATCTCTCTGCCTTTCTGGCAAGCATACACGCCCTATAGCAAAAACCTCTCCGAAAAGAAAAAGAAAAATACATCATGACTTTTCCCACAATGCAACACTTAAGTTCAAACTCCCAAGATCTTACTTTTTAATTATTTCTAAAATTAATTAACTTAATTAAAATGAAGTTTTACCAGGATTGTCACTGCCCTTATCCCTACCTTCTTTGGACAAGCCCAGAACCCCCGTCTTCTCAATGAGCACATTTGCATTTCCAGGTACAGGAGGCAGCACAGAATAGGAAAAGCCTTCTGAGATCCGCAGACCCTGGGTTCAACACTAACTATGGGTGTGACATCTGACTAGTTAACAAGGCTACCACAAAACAGTTGAGTTCATTGGCACTGGTCCCGAGACAGAAGACAGGGTTGAAAGCAAGGCTTCCCACCTTAAATTTGCCTGGATTCAAGTTCTGCATTCACCATTCACTAGTTGTTACCCTTTGGGCACTCTACTTAATTTGTATTTTGTAATTTTTATTATTAGGTTTCTGCCATAGTACAAGTGCACTCACTGGAGACAGAGAAAGTGAGAAATCACCCCGCAGGGGGGATGGCCACATCGCAATACCTTCTCCTCCATTCTCTTCTCAGGATTTTGGGCACTAGTATACACATGCCTGCGGTGATTTTCAAGCCGCCAGGTTGGCACCAGAACTGTGGTTGGTTGTGTGGGAATCCAGCACATTAACCACCACACCACCTCCTGGCCCCTCTATGTAACTTTTGTGATCTTTGATTTCCCCATCTGACAGAGGAATTAAAAGCAAAAAAGAGGAACATTCCTCCCTGGTTTGCCGTGAAGTCTAAATTCTGAGCAAAGTTCACCTTTAATTAATTTTAGCTATTATAATCATCTTTGTTGCTTGATAATTCTTTTATTTATAGTCAACAGCCTTCCCCATTTATGCTTTTCCTGCCAATCCTTTCCCTTATCAGCTTTTCCTGGCAATCAACAAGGAAATGAGATTACAATCATCACAACAGAGGCTCTTTTAATTAAGTGCTGTCTATGTGCATCAGACCTTGTTAAGTGGCTCAGCTGCATTAGTTCAAATGCATGAGGCAGGCACCTCATTATTACCCTTGTTTGACAGATGATAAAACAGGCTCAGAGGTTAAGTATTGAATAATTTGCCCAGTTACACATCTAGGAAGTGGCAAAGATATAAATTTGGATGCAGACAATCGCAGGCCTTGGCATTATGTTTAATTGCTCCTTAAAGCAAGGTGTGCAGTCCAAAAACTGCTGCCAGTTCAAAACTGAGTAAGTACAGGAGTACAGGAACAGACTAAACATTCAAAACCTTATAGCAACTTGACAAGAGAAATTTTATGTCTGTTGTACCTAAAGAAATGGGCTTGTTGGGGCCAGCAGATGACATAGCAGTTATATCGCTGGACTCCCACATGTCCAATCATAGATCAAGTCCCGGACCTGGGGGCTTGAAACTCATGCTGGGTGTATGTGCATACATGCCTAAGATCCCCAGAGGAAAATCGAAGAGAAGGGATTGCAGCATGGCCATCTCTCCTGGGGATGATTTCTCAGTTTCCCTCTCACTGTCTCTGTCTCTCTTGCATACGCCCTAAGGCAAAAACTTCTATTAAAAAAAAAAAGGAGGCTTGTATTTTGTTTTCCAACACTTTGTTTTTCTACTAACGCAGTTACACTAATCTGATACAAATATTGATCCACAGTGGATTGTAAATTAAAAACTAGTGCTTCGACCATGGATGGTTGGAGCAGTACTGATTGACATTATACTGCCTATCCTAAAGATCTTGTCACAACAAATTTAGTGCTGACCCTGGGGTTGGGAGTAAGACACATGCTCAGTGGAGAGAGGGCAGAAGGTAGGCTTAGTGAAAAAAGAACCCTGGGGCCTGGGGAGCAGGCCCTGACAAGATCTCCAACGGGGCTATCCAACTCCTCTCTGCCTCACTAATAACCACAGGGCTTTTGTACTTGCAATTTCGTCTCCCAGAAAGTTCCTTCTACACGCTTGTCATCTGGCTCACAGTTCAAATGTCATCTCGGCAGCAAGTCCCTCTTGAGCAACTTACCTAACCCCCGGACCCGACCCCGCTTTATTTCCCACTTGGCACATGAGACTCTCAAATTACAATTATGATATTCATGGCTGTTTGTCGGGGCCGCCAGGATACAGGCTCCTTAGAGATCCTAATTCTCTCTGACCCGAAGTCTAGCACAGTACCTGACATAGCTCACACTCATTACATTTACTGAACGCATGAAAACAAGACACCAAGAGATGGTACACAATAAACACGAATGAATTTGTATCAGTGCGGATCATTTCCCCTTCCTGGACGTCTGGGTCGTTCTCGGTAAAACGGAGCCGCGTAGCCCGCCCAGTCTCACACCGCCTGAAGGCACCGGTTCAGGAACGTTCGGGAGGGGCGGGGTCGCGACGGTGGGACGGGGCCTGCGGCGTCACGTCCGCCGAAGTTACCTGTGGGGCTTGGGGCGAACCGCACTCGCACCGCAGCCCCGGGAGCAGCACCCAGGCTGGCCGCAGGCCGGTGTCCCGGGGCGCCCAAGGCCCCCGGAGGGCCTCCGGGGATGCACCAGCCTCTGCAAAAGCGCCGCCATGTGGGGGTGGACTCGCACACGTGGGCCTCTTTCTGCGTCAATTCCGGGCAGGCCTCTTAGCCAATCCGCCTCCGCCACAGCGATCCGAGCCCCACCTCTTAAAGACGCAGGCCTCCCAGTTTGAAAGTCCACGCCCCCTTCGGTGGCTAAGGCTCCACTTGGCCACCAGGGGGCAGACCCCACAGAGCGGGCCGTTTCCCGGACCCGCCCCCCTCGACTCGGGAAAGCTAAAGCGTGGCAGGGGCCGGGCTGGGGAAGTGAAGGAGGCGGGTCTCCATAGAAACCTCCACCTGTTTCCGGCCAGGCTGTGCGAGATTAGGGGCTGCTGCGGGGGCCAATCTCAGCTAGCTAGTCTTTTCCCAGCGGCCTCTGCGGGAGCAGTGGGTGTTGTACACAATCATCATGGCGGCGGCCGGAGCCCCGGATGGTGAGTGCGGAGTGGGTGGCGGGTGTCC